ATGAAGAGTTAGAGGAAAGTCATGAAAAGGTACCTCATGAAATAGGAGAGAGGTATATGACTTTCTAGCTGGGAAACAGACAGCCTATCCATTTCTAAAACAGTCTGACCAACATATAGCGACACCTTAAGTATTTTGTTTCCCACATTTCTCAAAGATAATTTTTACAAAACATTCATATCACCGAACTTCAGCTCTGCCCAGGCAACCTCTTTGGTTACACTTCTCAAGTAGATAAGGGCCTCCCCAGCTCAGAAGAAAGCTTGCTTCAAAGTGATACATTCAGACACAATGTCCATGTTCACAGTCATTTCAACCACCCTAGGAGGCTCAGACACAAGACACCGCTGTCATCTTTCACACCACACAGTTAAGGGGACATCAAGGTCTGAGTTCCACATTCAGAAACATTTGTCTGCTTTATTGTGTAGGCTTGTGGCAACAGCTACCATTGAAAAGGTTTTAATCTTTACACAGAGGAAGAAAGGAAGAACAATGTATCTGAAGAAAAATATGCCTAAACGCCTTACTCCCTTTATGAAAGAGAAAGGCTGTACCATTTTTAAAGCAATACTGGACACAGTAAAACTATCCTGAAAAAATAGTTTGTCTGAGAGCTTTTTCCTAAACAAGGAAGAAACAACACAAAATGAGGAGCAAAGACAGAAGATGGTGTTTATGTCCGGTGATGACTTTCTCACAGACCTCCTCAAAAGCAAACAAACTGAATGAAGAGTTATTAGCCAACTCAAAAACTGACAAATTTTTATTATGAATATTCTGAAAAAAACAAACATGTAACAAAATCTCAAGTTTTGGCCAGCTACATTACATGCTTACTGGACAGAAAACAACAAAAGAGGCAAATAAGAAGATAATGGGGATGGAGAGGAAAAAAACCACAAAATTGGAGCAATTAGAGAGAATCAAAGTCTGTTTTTCTCCATTGGGCTAGTGGAGATGGCAACATCATTCAGAACGCTCTGGATGGTTCCAGTCAAGGGTCTGCTTTAGTCCCTGACAAAACAAGAAAGGTCACAGATTATATAACTTTTACCAATGCCACCACCAGCGAAGGATGACCTAATATTGATTCAACTCTGGCCAGAGCACACAATTTCTCCTCTTCTCCAGCCAACTTCAACATTGCAAAATTCTGCACTTAGTACCCCCGGTTCAGCAACCTGATACAACTGGTAACTGATTAACAACTGTTCTGTTAGAGATATCCCAAACATGAAAGGCTTGCAAGGGGCAACCAGAGTAATTCTGTACTTGCATTTTACTAAGGAAGCAGTGATGCACAACAGTACATACAGAGCATGCATAAAATCCAACCTTTACTGTAAATGTGGAGATCTCTCCTCTTTTTCATTTATCTACCCTGCATTTCTTGTTTTTCTATGACTGTTTCCTTTTTAAAAGAAGATATCAGGAACACTTAAATGACAAAGCTTTGGACATTGTTAGTCCAACTCTGTTATTCCATCACAAAAATCTCCCAATCTGACAGTTAGCATCACAGCCCTTTTAAAATGTATTTTACCATAAAAGTTACCTCATGACAACGTAATAGTGAAGCTCTGTTAGTAGCTCATGTGCCTGCACCACACATCAAACGTAGCAAAGGGAAAACCTAGGTTTGGAACCTAAGTGAGCAGTATCTTTAATCTGAACACTTCATTAAAACCTGGTGCTGAATATGACATTTTCAGAGTTTGACTCTTCATAAATTAAAAAACTTCTTGAAATGATAACACACAAAGATTAGAATGCAATTTTCTATCCACAAACTAGTGAGGTTTCCTAGGTGTATAAGACATAACCCTCTAGTTCGCAAGTTTCAGTTTTGTAATCAGTCAGTTGTATATTTCCTCCTGTTTCAGTAAATAAGCTTAACTCTACAACTTTCTATATAGAGACTCAAAAATAAGCATGAGTGTCATCTTCAAGTCCATAGATGCTGTATACACAAAAGTATTTTTCTATATTTCAGGAAGACAGTTCTTTCATATTAAGAAAATGTCCTAATTATGAACTCTATTCTTATCATTGACTCTTAACTGAAAGACCTCAACAGTTTGGGTACAAGAGAAGTTAACAAGTAATTTTTGTAAAAAATCCCCAAGATGCTACATTCTGCATAAATTTGCATTTGAACACGGTTAAGTTACTTTATTAAACAATAACCGAGATTTCTATTTCTCTAATCCACTGTACCTGTCCTAATTTGCCACAAGGGAAAAAATATACATTTGTTTCTAGATGGAAACTAGCGATACATAAACAAACACAGAGGTCTACCAAGCAAAACTAAATACAATAACTTACTCAAAACAAAACAATGTAATGAAACTAAGCTTTATGACAAACATTACTCACTCTCAATACACTCTGGAGCCATGTGCATCAGTCTCTACAACAGAAAAGAATAACAATGTGCCCAAATAATTTTTATATGTCCTCATTTAAAAATAAACACACAACTTTACTCCAAATTAATTCGAGTTACTCCTTCCCAAGTAAATTTAAATTCCATCTGAATATGACCATAAGGTGCAGTACTGATTATTTTTTAAAGTGAGTATACCAAGTCTAACAGGAGCATAAATCTGCATGTCTGTGCTGATAAGACCACAAGTATATACTGCTAAGAAACAAACATATGCCTATGATCCTAATTAGAAATGCTAAAGGAGTGATGTTATGTGAATTATCTAATTTCTGATCACTAAGCTATTATAAATGTTAAAAAAAGTAGTTCATATACCTAACCTTTTCATTTTTACACTTATTCTTCCACAAAGAAGCAATTATTAGTTCAAGAACCAATTACTAGTTCATTTCTATGAGAAAAATTCAGAAGAGTACATTTTTTAATTTTCTGTCTATTCATAGCTGAAACAGCAGAAACAGCTAGGGGGTCCAAATCCCCTAAAGTACAAACATCCTCTTCCCAGGTTAAAGGAGATGCTGGAGAGGAAAATAATTCAGGCTGCCCAGATATATGCTATGATATTTGTATAACATTTTATTTCATGTTTACAAACATACACAAAAAGGGGTCTAGGAAAACTGAAAGAAACCAAGGCATCCTCTTTCAAAATGGCAAAATAACTATTTGCCAAATTTTTTACCCTGGAATTCAAAACAATTACATTAATGTGAAAAAAACCCTGAAACTGTTCTGTTTGGTTATGCCTCTTGGCTTTCCTCTAAAAACAAAATACTAAAATTAGGATAGAAGCTCTTTTCAACGAAATTACAATGATACAAAGTTAAAAGAGTTTAACAATGATCAAACAGGACTTACAGTATAAAAGAAGTGTATTCTGAAAGATTACCTGAACCTATTGAGAGACTAAATCGTTATTTAAATTATTATAACACCATATGTGCCTGGTAGTGCATTCTGGGAACACTAACGTGAAAATTATCACAACCCTCTGATCAAAAGAAAATAATAACCCAAGTTACACACCATGAAGTAGTACAAAATATGCAAAGAGCATTCTGTTAGCACTCCCCTCCCACTCTAACTTTTACAATAATAGGTAGTGGCACGGATGTCCTATCCTTCAGGAACAAAGGGAACAAACCTCCCCATGTGACTTTTGCATCTGGTCCAACACGCTGTACCCATATTAAGGATCTGACTGCCTGGAATTTGAAAGCAACGCTAAGGATTTCCACTTGTATATACCGTGTTTTCCTAGCGGTTTATCGTCACAATCAGCCGGCGGCCAAGCGCTTCCCAGGAAGGGAAGCAGGGGAAGGGCTCCGGCCTTCTCGACATGCCTTGCTCCCGGCAGCGGGATCAGCACCCGGCAGAGGAACAGCGCCGGGGGCTCCAGCGGGCTCGGGCCGCTTCCGAACGCCGTTCGGGTTAAATACCGCCAGCGCTAATAAATAACTTCAGGGTTAAGCCCAGGCCTCCCCTCCATCAATGTCCCCTCTTTCACTCCAAGCATCCTCCTACTCCTAAGCGAGCTCACAACGCTGCTTTCCATGAACAGTCATGTCTTCCCAGGCTCCCGGTGAAACCCGCTGAGCTTGACGCCTAAAAATTTCGCCAAAATCTCTCGCCCCTTCCTCGCACAGAAGCGGCGCTGACGCCCGTACGCGCTGGAACCCCTCGGGGCCGGGGCTCCGTTCCTGGGCGCGCCGCGCGTCCCCCGCTGCGCCGAGCTCCGGGGCACCGGGACACCCGCCAGGACCCCGGCCAAGGAACCCGCCAGCCTGTCACACCCTACCGGCTCCGGGAGCCCTTCTGTGCAACCACCGCAGGTCATGTGCCACGGGTTTATTAAAGGATCATCCGTGCGCTATGAGCAGCAGCATCATAAATGCCCTCCTCCCCCTCCCAATACAGAGCACACAGGCACAAGCATCCCCACCCACCCTCTCCCAATTCCCAAAGTAAAGGCCAGGGAGGGGGAAGGGAAGGAGCCATCCCAAAGGAGCTGCCGTGCGGAGCGTGCCGCGCTCGGGCATCCCCGAGGATGCTGAGGCCGCCTCCCGCCCGGGGAAGGCAGGCCCGGCACCTGCCGGCCCGCAGCCTGCGCCGGCCGCGGGCTCCCTTCTCCAGCGCCTTGGCACTCACGGCTCCGCCGCGTTCGGAGGAAGCCCGGCCGCGTCCCGGCCCCCCATGCCCTCCGGCATTCGCCCACCCGCGCGCTCCGTCCCCTTCGCGCGGGTTATCCCCGGGTCAGTCCCCGCGGCTGCGGCGCCCGCCCGCCTGCGGCAGCGCAGCCCAGCGCCGGCCGGCCCCGCTCACGCTGTCCGCCGGCGGCCGGAGCGCCGCCCCCACGCCCCGACCCCGGCTCCGGGCTTCGGGTACCGCACGCACGGCGAAGGGGCGCTCCCTGCGCAGCGGCGGCGGCGCCGCCACGGCAGAGACAGACGGCCGGCGGGGCACCCCGCGGGGCGGCCTGAAGCGCGCACCGACCCGCGGCCGCCCCCCGCGCGTCCCCGGCGCCGTGCCCGGCGCGGCCCGGTACCTGTGAGGACGCCGACGCGGATCTGGTGGTCGTGGTTCGTCAGGATCATCCCCTCCGACGCCATGTTCGCGGCGCAGCACCGCACTGCCGGGGGGGGGGCGGCGCGGGAGCGGCGCGGGCGCAGAGGGGGCGGGGCCGTGTGAGCGGGGCGGGGCCTGGGGCGGGGCGGGGGCGGGGCCAGGACTACGACGGCGCGGGGGGGGTGCGAGACTAGCGCGGCGCGCGCGGCGCAGGCAGCCGCAATCCAGCGCCGAGAGGCCGGGCCGGCCCTCGGGATCCCGCCCTGCACGGGCCGGCAACGCAATTCCCGAGACTCCGGAAGAGTGGGGAAGACCGATAGCAAAGGATCCCTGCTCTTGGTTAGCCTGAAATCACAGAACCACAGATTCAATTAGGTTGGAAGAGAGCGCTGTGATCGTCGAGCTCAGCTCCGACCAGCCTTGTCAAGTACATCGGGGCACTGAGTGCCACATCCAGCCGTTCCTTAAACACCTCCAGGGACGGCGACTCCAACTTCCCTTGTCACCCCATTGCAAACTCTCATCTCCAGTTCTGTGAAAAATTTCTTCTGACATCCAACCTGAGCCTCCCCTGTTGCAGCTTAAACCTGTGTCCTCTTGTCCTGGCGCTGGCTGTCTGGGAGGAGAGGCCGGCCCCCACCTGGCTACGGCCGCCTTTAGGTGGTTGTGAAGAGTGAGATCACCTTTGTCCTCTTCAGTCTAGAAATACAGACATATAAATTTTTTCCAGCATTGCCTGGGGCTCAGCAAGGTGTTTTTTTTCTAGCTGTCCAGGCCTCTTCTCTCATATGTGAGCCCTTTTCCTTTTCTCTGAGACTAAAGCTGTTGTTACACAGACAAAGCAACAGTTGTTTTGATAAAGCAACTTCTTGTCATCTTTTTTGCCTGACTTATGTGACCTTGGGGACTCTAAGGACTATTTAAACTCGTTTTGAATGAATATGTGGGCAAACATCTTCCACATTGATTAGCACTATCATCAAATACAAATGATATCCCATTGTCGAAATTCAAGTCTCCTGACTTCAGCAGATATTTTTGGGTATTCGTCTTGCATTTTCAATGCCATTTTACTAATCACAGACTCCGTATTAGTCTCCTTTTGACTGCCTGCTAACAAGCAATTACTGAAAGCATTTGTAATTTGCATATATATAAATGAACCACTTCAGTTTTCTCCTTAGCATATCACTTTCTTAGATGAACAACTAGCACAAAAAAATAAAAAAAATAAAAAAGGCTGAAGAAATATCCCATATTCCTTATGGGAAAATCGCACTAGTAGCACTTTGATGGGGTGGTGCACCAGCACACAATATCAGTATTTCTGTATTGGCACAGCAGTTGCAGTGTGTGCAGCCATAGAGACTGAGAATCCAGGCTCCAGGGATTTCTGGTTATGCAATGGTATAATACAACATATGTGGGTGGGTGTAAGCCTGAACCCAAAACAGCATGGTTACTGAAGATATACTGCATCAGTGGTGCTCATACTGCTGTTCCTTCACGGGTTCAGTCACTATGTGTTGAATATTCTGTTGTAGACAAGGCAAAAAGATTTTTTTTTTTTTTGCAAACGTATCTGAAATTATCTAAAGTGCAGCAAATAGCTTGACATTTTGTAGCTTCCTGCAGAGGATTCTCACACCCTAAAAACAGTATTGTTTATTCAGAGCATCTCGGTCTCCCTGTGTAGCCTGTTGATTCGTTGCTCTTGTGGATGGTAAGAAGGAGGGGCAAAATTCAGATTTCACTGGCAGCATTAGCTTTATTACTTCTTGATTTATAAGTGCCTACTAGGGATTTGTATGAGGTTTTTTTGTATGTAGAAATGTAGTAGACGATTGTATTAAAGCAACAAAATAAGTTTACCAGTTTTTGAATGACTGAGTAAAGAAGAAGCTGAAATCGATAATAGGGGTTTTGTTATTGTAATGTGAAAAGCCTTGTAAACTAGATGGTAGATCCATAATGGTGCAGGAGAAGGTTGCAAATGTCAAATTTGTGACAGAGTAAGAAAACAAGTGTGTGTGATGCAGAAGCCTTTTACTGCAGGGATATATTCCAGGTAATGCGCTAGCAATCCACACTGGAGTTTATATTGACTATCCAGAGAAAAACAAGTTTTCCTCATCAAGTCAATATAAAGCTGATAGTCACATTTTGTCCTGGTCATGTCAGAGTTGAAGTATAACTCAAATAAGTAACCTCTCAGCAAATTTTTTACATTATTTTGGCTGCCAGCAGGTAATTATCAATATCTCTCCGTTAACTAAAGCACTGCCTTTTCATCAAGCTGGCTCTGCCAGCCATGCTGGGAAACACAGTGGCTTTCTCAGTTTATCGTGACCACTACCGAATTACATCTTTTACTCATTGGGAAAAACAGTCTGAGCGGACAGGAAGCTCCTGTACTAACTTCCATAGTTACCTGTAGAAATCTTAATTTAAGAAAAAGAAGTCTTCGGTATGATGACAAGAAGATAGCAGTTTGTTCTCCTCATTACAGTATGGAAAAGGATTGTTTAAACTCTTATTGAAAGTTATCAGAGACACTTCATATTTAGAATAAGTATAATTTCTATTGTTTTGTTGTCATGTAGGTCTGGTTCTTTTTTCAGTGACTCCTTAACTATAATTTCTTAACTCTATTCTATTTTGTTTACAACTCGTTGGATATTTGGATCAGCAGTGGGACATGGCTTTTCAGCTTTGTGCCATTGGTGCAGATCCTGCTGAAGACATGAAACAGCTGGTTTAATAAATCATTAATCAAATCTAAAACATTTTAATTTGTGCCACTGATGCAAATCCAAGTAAGGTCAAGAGACTAGCTGGCTCAATGGTTAAGTAACAAGAAACAAAGTTGTACCTCCAGTTTATTCATGTGAGTCTATAAAGAGTCAGGAAGCGAAGGCTGAGACCTAAAAATAAAAAGATTTTCCAATTCAGCCATTGTTTTAAAGTCAGTCTATTACAAGTTATTACTTTCTGATATGTTTAAATACTCTGTGTTGATCTATAAATTTTGAAAAAGAATAATATAAACATTTTATATGTAGCCACTGGTATAGCACAATATTCATCACTCTAAAAGAAGGTGCAAGAGGTGATTATTCCAAAGAATCCTTTCCTTTGGGCAAGCATCAAGGAAAAATACAGACCATGCACTGTATTTTAGCTATGTAAGGTTAGAAAACCCTTTAAATGTCTTAGTGGGCTACACCATAGTCCATCCTTGCCACCTGAATATTGCCAGAGGCTTCCAGAGAATATTTTCTGGGTTTAGACTTCCAGTCATGAGTAGGAACCCAACTTCAGTGATCGTCCTAACTATTAGTGGGCAGGAAAATGTGTTTTGCTTACAGTATAATTTAATTAGTCTTTGCATTGTACCAATATTTGCAAGGTCAAATCGTCTATTAAGCAAATAACCTATGTCTGTGAGATCATAAGATGAGAGAAGCTGTTAACTCTTCCACTTGGTAACAAACTACATTGCAATTTAGCTGATTCCTGTTTGCAATATGGGCATTTGCATCAATGACAGGCGTGTGGAAAACTCCAAAGGAAAGGTGGCCTTGACAGACATCCATGCATATTCTCTCCTTCCCTGCCTCCTCCCACTCATCTACCTACTGTGGTGCAACTTTTGAAATGGCACCATATGCTCTAGGATACAACTTCACATATATTCTTAGAAACTACAACATCTGGAAGAGTGAAATTTACTGAGCATATATGGTATGACTTTGATGGCTGTGGTAGTGACAACCATTTGAGTTGCCTCCAATTCTAACCCATTGCAGCCTTTTTTTCTTTTACTCTCATACGTGGTCAGACCAGAAAAGCTCTTCCTTTTCCATCATCCTTCCCGTGATAAAGGTTATGGCAAAACCCTGTATTCTCATTATTTAATGCTCAAAGTAGGTCTATCTGGCTTGTCTTTTCTTTATCTGAGATTTCAGATGTTTTGCTGCTCCATTGAAAAAATGTTTCTGTTTCAAGGAGTCTTTGGAAAAGAATGTTCTGTAGATCTTTGTCCAGGACATGTTGCACCACTGTGGTATTTTGCATTATGCAGACACACATTTTTTCATCCAGACTTTCCCAGACAGAATTCAAAAAGTCCTAAGCAGGGAAGTTCCAGATTGAAGTACATCTCAGCATACTAACAAGGTTTGGACCCACCTCTAAGGAGCAGTGGAGTTCCTGCAGATTCTGTGATAAGGATTATCTGTTGGTTCATTATCATTATCTTTTTGTCCATCATCCATTGATGATCATTTTTTGATCCCACATTGAAAATGGTGCCCAAATATTTTGCTTTAGTTATTCTAATCTGACAAAGTAGGCTTTTCTTGAATAGCAGTACCCTAACAAAGGGTTTCCTTTCTTTTAGGGTAATTTGGAAATGGGGCCAGCCAAAGGCAATCCTGATGCTCCCAAGTACCAATGCTTCTGGGTCAGTGCAGCCCTTACTGCAGTGTACAACCCATCTGAGAACAGAACCAAAGCCTTTGAGATAGGTTTGCAATATGTGTGACATCTGACTACAAATGCAGTGCCATTCACTACTAGTATGGGTGCCTGACAAAAATAAATGAATCTTAGCGTGACTCCACGAGTGGTGTTGACACATTCAATTGTCTGTGCTTCGTTTGCTGCAAAACAGTAGCTATTTTAGAAAAGCGTTTGATGAGTTTAGCATACACAAAGAGTAGACAGATTTAAAAGACATCTTACTGGAACATTCTATTTTTGAGATTTCACTTTGACAAAACTGCCTCATTAAGGACTTGGATATGAAAAGCAGGAAAATGCTTTTGGATCTCATGTAAACTAAATTCAGAATTCTGATGAGCTGAATCAGTTCTTTCCATACATTATTTTCCTTTATCTGTATTTCTCCTTGTTTCTGTGTAAGAGACGATATAAAACCTTAAGGTATCTCAATCTTGGTTAACGAGCAAGATGACTCCAAACTGTATGAAATAAGGGAGGAAGAGGAAAGAGAAGGTAAGTATTTTGAACCCAAGTTAAGTTATAATATTTTGGAAC